GGAACACTTATAAGGAATTAATAAGCTACTCCCATAACTTTAAAAACTATTTAGATGTTTGCTTTCTATGTGATTACATGGCATTCTTTATGAAAATCTATTTAATAACAATAATATAGACATTGACACATTATTCTACAAATTTTGTCATTAGTTTAATAGTGTACAGCTAATTCTTTTTGATAATTTATTAAAACTTCAAGTGGTTAAGTAAATTAGAATAAAGATGATATAAAAGGTACCTGTGATTGTGTAGACTTTTAAAGATTTTGAGTGTGGCTGGCGCCGCGGCTCACTAGGCTAATCCTCCGCCTTGCAGCGCTGGCACACCAGGTTCTAGTCCCGGTCGGGGCACCGGATTCTGTCCTGGTTGCTCCTCTTCCAGGCTAGCCCTCTGCTATGGCCCGGAGTGCAGTGGAAGATGGCCCAAGTGCTTGGGCCCTGCACCCCCTGGGAGACCAGGAGAAGTACCTGGCTCCTGCCTTTGGATCAGCACAGCGCACTGGCCGGGGTGGCCATTGGAGTATGAAACAATGGCAAAGACCTTTCTCTCTGTCTCTCTCACTGTCCACTCTGCCTGTCAAAAATTAAAAAAAAAAAAAAAGATTTTGAGTGAATTGGAGGATAAATATCTTGGCAAAAATTATATACAGAAGCCATAGAAATATTAATTAAACTCCCAATGGTTGTCTCCATGAGACTATAAAATATATTTAGATTTACACGTTGGAAACCTTAGGAATATTCCCTTTCAATTATAAACTACTTAACCAAGAGGAAAAACAGAGTTACTCATGAAGAGTTAGAAATTAAAATAAACAAAAGTTTCAAAAAGAAGAAAATATTTTGTAGGGATTTGTTAAACAAGATTAAGAAATGATTATTCTCTGCCGGCGCTGCGGCTCACTAGGCTAATCCTCCGCCCGCGGCGCCAGTACCCCAGGGTTCTAGTCCCAGATGGGGTGCTGGTTCTGTCCTGGTTGCTCCTCTTCCAGTCCAGCTCTCTGCTGTGGCCTGGGAGGGCAATGGAGGATGGCCCAAGTCCTTGGGCCCTGCACCCGCATAGGAGACCAGAAGGAAGCACCTGGTTCCTGGCTTTGGATCGGCATAGCTTCGGCCGTAGCGGCCATTTTGGGGGTGAACCAACGGAAGGAAGACCTTTCTCTCTGTCTTTCTCTCTCACTGTGTAACTCTGCCTGTCAAAAAAAAAAAAAAAAAAAGAAGAAGAAGAAGAAAGATGATTATCTCCCTTTATTTATGTCTCGGATGCATATGTTAAAGGCTTGGAAAGTGCTATCATCCATTTGACACAGGCTCTTTTGCATTGTTGAGGTCTGAGTTTTCTGTTCATTGTGATGTCAAAGATCCCCCTGCATGTCTAGATGAAAAGACTGGGCATTAATAGGCAGAAGAATGGCCAGAAGTGAACACATTTACTCTGCATGATTTTCTCGGTCCCTACACTGTCAAAGTCACTACTGCACTGTGATTTGAACAAGAAAATGGGGGTGGCAGCAGAGAGGCTGCCAACCAAAAAATAGCTTGAAAGACCGGAGACCATTTCTTCTTCCACATGCAATGCTGGAATACCTAAGACACTCACAGACATATTCCCCTCCTCCTGGCTCATGGGCTTTAATGGCCCCTGTTGCCTAAGGGGAGTGTGCACTTATCTTTACAACATGGAAATCTCCAAGTCCTCATCTCAGCCACCCTGACAACTGTGCTTTGTATTGGAATAAGAAGCCAAATCTACCAGTAGATTTTTATAATCCAAATTATTAAAGGAGAGTTTTAATGTTTAACCTCCATATTTACTATTTCAATAGATAAATTATGATGCTTTCTGTGGCATTTCTGTGACAGAAAAGAAGAGAGCATTTGTTCTGGCTTTCGGTCAGAAGAAGGAAGAGACGAATGGAGGGTGGAGGGAAGAAGCGGGAGGGACTGCTGCCTGGGGAGCACGTCTTACCTGGGGCATTGAACCTTGGCAAACTCAGGATCACCAGGGAACCGGGGAGGCGAGGGAAGGCCCTGGCAGTGGCAGACGGAAGCATCAGCGTCTCGGCCTGGCTGTGCCTCCCTCAGCACGATCTACTGCAAGCTGCCTGATAGACCAGAGCGGACTTGTCCTCCTGGTGCCACAGCCCTGCAATTTACACCCTTCCCCTTGTCTTCTTGGCTACGTCCCGTTCCTGTGACACAGCTGTCACAGTACAGCTCACCAGGGCCAACCTCTCTCATTGCTCTGAGATGGAAGGTTGTGGAAGAAGAGGTGCACCGGGTAAGCTTCTGTTTTGGTCTCCTGCCTCACATTTAGCTTGGCAAGGGTTAAAGCATGAAGTGCCCTCGCTGGGTGGCTCCTAGAGCCACATTGACCCGTTGAGGATGGCCTCTGATTTAGCAGAAAAACAGCTCTGTGCCAGGCAGGTGTGCTTTGTGTGTGTTAATCCATTTGGTCCTCATAAATGTGTCATAAATCCATAAATGATATAAATGCATTTGCGGACTGTACTGAAAGAACGAACATGGCTGTATTCTAATAAACCTTATTTACAAAATCCAGCGTGGGCTGCAGTTGGCCCGCAGACTGGAGCTGGTGGTCCCCAGCTCTGATCCGTTCAATAGTCCACCTGACGTGGACATAAAGCCTCCCACTTCTGTCCCTCTGGCAGTCCCTACTAACAGACATCGTTGTTAAGGATTTATAGCTTACAATACACTTGTTCTTCACTGTACATTTGTGAGTCAGGTTTTATCAATGTCCCTGTTTTAGAGAAGAGCAAAACAAAGCTTCAGAGGCCAAGTCCCCTGTCCAGAGTTTCATGTTACAAAGTTCTTTGGCACTGACTAAACCTGAAGTGTAACTCATAATCAATACCTATCCATCCTGTGGAGGATGCTTGTTCTCTTTCTTCTATAATTGCTTGTGTTTTCTTGTGTTCATTTTAAAGAAGATTTTTTTTTTATTTTATTTTATTTTATTTTATTTTATTTTATTTTATTTGAAAGGCAGAGTTACAGAGAGGGAGAGGGAGAGACAGTGAGAAGGAGGGAGGGAGGGCGGGAGGTGGGGAGAGAGAAAGAGATCTTCCATCCATTTGTTCACTCCCCAAACGGCTGCAACAGCCAGGACTGGGCCAGGCTGAAGCCAGGAGCCTGGAATTTCATCAGGTTTCCCACGTGGATTCAGGGGCCCAAGCTCTTGGGCCATCTTCTGCTGCTTTCCTAGGTGTATTATCAGGGAGCTGGATCGGAAGTGGAGCATCCTGGACTTGAACCATCACTCATCTGGGATGCTGGAATCACAAGCAGCAGATTAACCTGCTGCACCACCACAATGCTGGGCCCTCTTTCCTCATATTCTATGCTGTGCTTTCTTTTTTTTGGTCATATTTTATTTGTTTTAATTGACATATAATTGTGTGTATTTATGAGGTATGATGTGATACTTAGTGTAAATATTACATAATGATCAAATCAGGGTAATGTGCATTTTATCACCTTAAACTTTTATCACTTCTTTATGGCAATTACATTCAAAAATCTTCTCTGTGCTGTGCTTTCTTTCTAAGGAAGCAGAGGAAAAGCACTCTAATCTCTTTCTGGGCTGGCTAGTACCTGCCTGACAAAAACTTTTCTTATGCTGGCTGAGCTCTGAAAGCCTTGGGACTGGGCACTGCCCATTTGGCTGCTGAGACTACTTGATGAGTCTCATTCTAAGAACCAGGCAAGATTTGTCAGTCACAGCTTCTCTGCACCAGTGTAGGACCTAGGAATAGGCGCGACAGCATCAGTGACTACCATTTACAGCTCACAGCATGCGAGCTGTCAGCTAAGTATTTCTTCAACATTATCATATTTAATCTCCAGAACAGCTCTTGCTTTAGGTAGATCTCATTATCCCTACTTTGCAGATGAAGCAAACGTACAACACATGCTATAAGGGTTGAATGTCCTTACCACCAATCTTTTATAATTATTGTGGTCAAAACACAACACAAAATTATCTTAACTATTTTAAATGAACGCAGAAGTAATGGTCATGTATGCACAGGGTTATACAGCTGGCCTCCAGAACGTTCTCGTCTTCAGAACTGTAGCTCTGTCCCTTGAACACCAACTCTGCTTGTTGCTGACTTGCCTTCTGCAGGAGAGGTTAGCCAGATGTGCGTGCCCAGGAAATAGTGCCAGTCTTGGCAAGAGCACTGAAGCTCTTTGGAAACCAGTCAAAATAAACTCAGAACATGGGGGTGGAGACAAAGGAAGGGAATCTCCATCCGGGGAGGACCCTGCTTCAAGACTTTTCTGAACCAAGGTACTCCAGTTTTTCCACCGCTTATCTCTGGTGACTGCGGAACGAGACATTATCTTATGATCCTGCCATACTGCTTTCTAGGTTATTGTGTAAGAACATGATGTTACTTCACCCTCAAAAATTCCTACTGAAAAATAGTCATTACTTTTATCACCAAGGACAAGAGAAACATCAGTCAGAACTCCGAGGGGCAAACTCATGGCTCATTTGGATCCAGTGATCAAAGGCTCACAGACGCAGCGGCCACTTTGCCACTGGTGTGCAGCAGAATTAAACTTGGGTGTCTTTTGCTCATCTTGGTTTTTGTTTTTTGAGAGGCGCAGAGACAGACACACAGAGAGCTCCCATTCCTTGATTCACTTCCCAAATGCCCACGACCGCTGGGGCTGAGTCAGGCCAAAGCTGGGAGCCAAGAACTCAGTCTGGGTCTCTCCCATGGGTGGCAGGGACCCAAAATACTTGAGCCATCACCTGCTGCCTCCCAAGGAAGCTGGAATCAGGACCAGAGTTGGACTTAAATCCAGGCATGCTGATGTGGGATGAGAGTGTTCAAAATGGCAGCCCAACCACCTGGTCACCCTTCTTGCTCAGCTCTTGATGACCAATGTCTGTTGACCCCACAGTGGTGGATAGTTGTATTTTCTAGCGTCAACTATAATAATGTTCTTTGTGTCTCTATCAGAATGTGCAAAAGACTGACTCGTTCCAGGAGTGGCCAGATTCCTATGTGAAGCATGTCTATAGCTCTGAAGACAGGAACGCACAGAGGCACCTGAGCAGCTGGGCCATGCGCAATACCAACAACCACAACTCCCGCATCCTCAAGAAGTCCTGCCTGGGCGTGGTGGTGTGTGGCCGCAACTGCTCTACAGAGGAGGGGCGCAAGATCTACCTGAGACCTGCGATTTGCGACAAAGCCAGGCAGAAGCAGCAGCGTGAGTGGGGCCTGGTGGCACTGCCAGGGAACCTGGCACCCATTCAGATGGGCTCTATGTCCCATCACACTCCCCAAGGACCCAATCCTTGTAGTTGAGACCAAGGTTGCTCTAATACATAGAGCATGTTAAGGAGGAATAAGCCAGTCCCCTTGTCCCCAGGGCCTGCCCCAACGATCTGCCATGGCGGGAATACCCACAATTAAACTTCCTTGGGTTAAAGTACTAACTTGAGGTCCCTGTTGAAAGGAAAATGTATTATTAGGGGGACTAACATTAGTTCATTGGTGATTCCTACACAGTTTAGGAGAAAATAATTTATTAGACTTGTCACCTGACATCTTGGGACATGGGTCCTTAAGAGGTCTCAATAAGAACTTTCTGATCTGAAACAGGAATGGTGGGATTGATTTGAGTTTAGACTCAATTCCACCCAGTTAGGTTCATGTCATCATCATGTGCTGAGATATTTGTTATTTGTTTTTTGTTTGTTTGTTTTTGTTTTGTTTTGTTTTGTTTTTGACAGGCAGAGTGGACAGTGAGAGAGAGACAAAGAGAAAGGTCTTCCTTTGCCATTGGTTCACCCTCCAATGGCCGCCGCGGCCAGCGCGGTGGGGGTGGTAACTTTGCTCTGTTCCTTCATAGGGAAGCACTGTCCCAACTGCGATGGACCGCTCAAGCTCATTCCATGCCGAGGCCATGGTGGATTCCCGGTCACCAACTTCTGGAGGCATGATGGCCGCTTCATCTTTTTCCAGGTTGGATTTGAGTTAGTTCTATTCTTCTGTTTGGCTTTAGCATCACAAATGTTGGCAGTGTTCTCACAATAGAGGGCATCCCTAGAAGCTAGAGATTTACAGGTGAAGGGAGAGCAAACGTCTGCCCTGCACATTTCAGTGGAGGTTTGAAGGGCTGAAGTGTCCTGGGAGGGGACAGGCTGACTGCCTGGGGACCAGAGGAGAGCCAGTGGCTGATGCAGTCACACCAGGTGAGCACAATGCTCCCCAGTATGCAAAGTGTGCCGCTGAGCTTGGAGTCTTCTGTAAAACTGAGTTTGAAAACCAGCTCTGACTTTTAACTTGTGCTGTAAACCTGAACAAGTTACTTCCCCTCACCCCAAAGCCCAGCCTTCTCTGGAATGTGAAAGAAGCACTGATTGTACTGGTACATAAACAATAAAAGAATGGACTCTGGGTTTGAGTCAGTGGGGTGTAGATAAACGGGCTCCCCAAATCTGCCAATTTGTAGCATTTGCCAATTTCTATGAGAGTAACTATTCCCACCATGGCTGACTTCAAGCTGCCAATGTTTTTAACAATCAGCTCACAAAACTACTGAGTGATTAGCAATTGGCTTTCAGCTTGACTGGCAGTAGCTAGGAGAATCCCAGGGGAATCCTAGGACTCTCATTAACAAGGGAAGGTTACCTGGGTGGTAGAATCTCTCTGTCTCAGTTTCAAATTCTGTAAGCTGACCATGATAGTAATAGGATGTAGCTCAGTGGTTATACTGAAGATTATACAAGATTAAGTACATTGTATGTCTAGAAGAGCCCTGTACATAGGGAAGGAAACATTCAGTGCTGTTGTCACTGTCTGTATGGCTTAGTGGGGTAGATGAGAGGCACCACAGGAAGCAGCAGCATGGTAAGCATGGGTATGTGTGCAGGGAGGAGCATGGCAGCCTGGGGCATACTGGGAGGTTCACCCAAGCTCATTCCAATAGGCAGCTATAGCCACTCAGTCAAGTGGCTGGATATAGAGTCAAGACTTACACACCAAGTATAATCTAGTGGCTTAGTTTGTTTCCTTTTTGTTTCCTCACCTCCTCTAAGTCAAAGGGGGAACATGATCATCCAAAACCAGAAACCAAGCTGGAAGCCGAAGCAAGAAGAGCAATGAAGAAAGTGCACACTGCACCTTCCTCCATCTCCCTAAAGCTGAAGAGGAGCCCAGACACAAGGGTAACCTCCCTCTAACATGTGTAACTTCAAGCCCCAGTCATTGTCCCTGGTTCTTTACTAACAAAGGAAAGTCACTCATCTATTCCCATTACTACTGGGCTACCCTGCAAACAAACATTCACCAAAGAAAGTGCATCTCAGGTTTTAATCTTAATGCCTACCGTCTTCTTGTGCATGCTCTCAGTCACAGATTCTATGTAATTATAGACCTGTCTTCCCCACTACAATTTAAAGGAGAAATTTGAATTAGTACTTAGCCTATATTTGGCACTCTATATTTTGGTTCTAATAGGCACGGAAATGAACTGAAATGATCTCCACTAAATATTAATCTCATGCACCCCCCACCCGATTTCCATACTCCTGCCTTGAGCACAGATTATTTCCTTCACGTACTCTACCAAAATGGGACAAACAGTCTCTGAAAATGATGGACATCCAAGGTGGTGGTGAGGGGGTGCTCCTTGTAGAGCAAGTGTCATGTGGAGCCCACTACTGTAGGGACATCATATTGTAGGTTGTTGTTTGCCCAAGTGTGATAGCTATTTCCCATGCATTTCCTGCTGTTCAAAACTCTACATTTCTTTTCAGAAAGCAGAGATGGAGCTGGTCCATCCTTGGTGGCTCTAAATGTCCCTGAAACATTGTCATTGGAGTCTGCTGTAGGGAATGGGGATCGCCAGATCCAAGTGGCTTGTTTCTCACCACTTCTCCCAGCCACAGAACCCCATGTGGAAGGTGTTTCCTCCCACTCCATCTACCTGGTCACAGCCCTTTCTTTCCACCCCCTAAAACTACCCTCTCCTTACCTGACTTTTCCATAAACAAGAGTATATCTTAATTCTCAATCAGTTTCTTTTCCTATGATTACCTGGGAAGCATTGTGCTTCCTCTACTTTTAAGACAAATTTGCCATATTGTGTTCCATACATCTTAGTTATGACCCAACAAAATTCCCATGAATTCAAGGAAAAATGTCTTGGGAGGAAAAAAAAAAAAAAAACCCTCCCAGACTCCAACCAGCAAACAAAAAAAAAAAAAAAGACAACAAAGTGGAGAAATGATGAGAAAGATAGTTGTACTGAGTAAAATATAAATCTGAAGCTATGGTTTGATTTTTCTTCAGTAGCTCTTCGTAAATTTTTCAGGCAGGCCATTAGGATATCAGATCTGTGTTGGAGTAGAACCATCTCCCCACACTGCTGTCTCCTGGCTGGGGCTGGTCAGCCAGCTTCCATCTGGAGATGGAGCAGCCTTGGCTTCTGTCTGTCTTGGGTGGTTGTGGTAAAGATGCTGTGAGTGTCTGTGCTTCAAGGATGTAAGGAATGAGGAACATCCGACAAGCACTTACTAGTACAGAGTAACTCAGGCTGCCTATGGTAGCTGTGTGTGTGTGTGCTTAACTTATTAACGTGAGCTTTTCGTTTTCTTTTCCAGCCTTTTCCAGGTGAAACACAAAGTCAAGGAAGTTTCCCTTTAACTTGGTCTTTCCAAGAGGGTGTCCAGTTGCCTGGTAGTTACAGTGGACATTTAATAGCTAACCCTCCCCAGCACACAGCCTTCAGTGATTGCTTATCATTCTCCAAGAGCTATGGTCCGGGGGAAACCACCAGTCTGGCAGACCAGGCTTCCATGCTGGACCCCCCCAAGCTCTATGAAAAGCGCAGATTTTCCTCCAATAGGCTGTACAATAGTGGAGACCTGCTTCAGCCTTCTGCCTCTGGAGCCTACCCGGATTATGACGATCTGCAACCATGGAGCAAAAATGCTGCTTTGGGGAGAAATCCTCTTAATGACAATTATTGCCCCAATTACCCTTTTCCTCTGACCAGCTGGCCTTGTGACTTCTTTCCTTCCCAGAACTCTTCCGAACCCATTTCCCAGCAGATTCCGTTGGAACCACCTGCAGCCAAAACTGGCTGCCACTCCTTATGGCCAAATCCAGGAGGAGAGGTTTATGAAGAGAAAGCACCCGTGGATTTGAACAGCTATGTCCCTTCCTTCATGTACCATGCACCCCAGGAAGACCCCTTTCTCCTCACCTATACCTCTCATCCTCACCAGCAATATTCACTGCCAGGCAAGAGCAACAAGTGGGAGTTTGAGGAAGAAATGATGTGCATGGATTTGGAGCACTGCAACAGTGAAATGTTTCTAAACCTCTGTCCTTTAAGATGACTGAATTACCCTGCACACATATACACACGCTCACATGTGCTTTGGGAAAATGGCTGGAAGAATCTCCTCAGGGAAAAAATTTCAAAGATGTTCTCATTGATTTCAATGGAAATCATGACAAGTAATGGTCAAGACTTCTCTCCTCACACAAGTCATCTTTTTGACTCCTCTTCCACACTAGTACTTCCTTCCTAAGCAGGCATTGGAAATGTGTCCAATCTGTAGGTGAAAGAGCTTTGCTCCCCACCTCCCACCCTCCAGTGTTGGGGGGCTCTCAGCACCTCAGTTATCCCTTGAGTTTTCTTTGTCACAGATGCATCTCGATCAGAGCAGAGATATGGAAAGCGCACCTACCTAGGATCTTACCTATGCCTTCTTAGGGACTGATACTGAAGGAACAGAAACTGGATGGGTGGAAAAGCTGAAGATTCTGCCGCTGAGCTGTTCCATACTCTGTCTAGTCCTGGGGTTAGTTTTTAAAAGGTGTGTTTCCTGGGTGATTTCTAAGACTTGCCATACAGGAAGATGCCCTAACCCCATGTTATAAAGAGCAGAAAAAGTAAATGGTCACACATAGAGAAATTCTGGCGGTGGCTAATGGCTTCCTCTGTCTTTCCTTCCCTTCTCCTTCCCCAGTGACTTCTTCCACAAGGGCTTGGGTTTTGTCCTCTTTAGCTTTACTCTTAATGGCACCAAACTCAGTGCCATGTTTGTAATACAGGGGAAAATGTTTATAGAAGTCTTAGTGTAATTATCATAGCCATGGTTGGCCAGCAGTATTTGAATGCAACTTCCTCTTCTTTGCTGAAGTACTTTATGTTAAAGGTGAGTCTAGCCATGAACTTTGGAAAGAGCCATACAATAAAAAGACTTTCAAAAATGGTCTCCTGTTGTATTATTTAATAAAAGCCAAAGTTATTTATTCTTTAATTTATTTGAAAAGACAGGGAGAGAAGCAGAGAGGAAGAGAGGGAGAGGGGGAGGGAGGAGAGAAGGAAATGGGGAGAGAGAGTATTTTCCATCTGCTGGTTCATTCCCAAATGCCCTCAGTAGTCAGGGCTGTGCCATGCTGAAGCCAGGAGCCCAGAACTCTAATCTAGGCCTCCCACATGGGTTGCAGGGACCCAAATACTTAAGCCATTACCTGCTGCCTCCTAGGGTACCCATTAGCAGGAAGATAGAATTGGAAGTAAAGCCAAGACGCAAACCCAGACACTGATACAAGATGTGGGCATCCCAAGCAGAGTCTTAACTGCTATATAATTCTGTTTTACTTTAATGATAACAAATGTACATAATGCAAAATTCAAAAGTAAAACTGAAGTTCTGCTCCTGTTCTCCCTGCAACACAAACTAGCCTCTTGTCTTTCAAAGATCAGATGCATTCTCGCATAGTCAAGGGGCCTTCAAAAACTTCATAGAAAATGTGTATTATGGAAAAACTATGCATGGATTTCAAAATTTTTTGCACTAAAATGTATCATTTTAAAATAATTATTTATTTGAAAGTCAGAGTTTGAGAGGAGAGGGAGAGAGAACCATCTGCTGGTTCACTCCCCAAATGGCTGAATGACTGGAGCTGGATCAGGCTGAAGCCAGAATCCAGGAGCTTCATCTGGGTCTCCCACTTGGGTGAAGGTGCCCAAGGACTTGGGCCATCTTCTGCTGTTTTCCCAAACATATTAGCAGGGAGCTGGATTGGAAGTGGAAGAGCTGGGACTTGAACTTGTGTTCATATGGGATGTTTGTAACACAGGGTCCAGTCTTTTTTTATTTTTTTTTTATTTTTATTTTTGACAGGCAGAGTGGACAGAGAGAGAGAGACAGAGAGAAAGGTCTTCCTTTGCCGTTGGTTCACCCTCCAATGGCTGCCGCGGCCGGCGTGCTGCGGCTGGCGCACCGCGTTGATCTGATGGCAGGAGCCAGGTACTTATCCTGGTCTCCCATGGGGTGCAGGGCCCAAGTACTTGGGTCATCCTCCACTGCACTCCCTGGCCACAGCAGAGAGCTGGACTGGAAGAGGGACAACCGGAACAGAATCCGGCACCCTGACCGGGACTAGAACCCGGTGTGCCAGCGCCGCTAGGTGGAGGATTAGCCTAGTGAGCCGCGGCGCCGGCAAGGGTCCAGTCTTATCCACTATGCCACAGCACTGGCCTCAATAAAGTTATTTAATTCCATTTTCCATAAGTTTTTTGATGCACTCTCATATAATATATATAAAATGTATAAAATTTGTGAATATATAACATGTTATATCAATTTCTTATATACACATAAGAAGACATACCAGATTGAGTTTTTTAAAAAAATTATTTGAAAGTTACAAAGAGGTGGGGAAGGCAAGCTTCCATCCATTAGCTCACTCCCTAAAGGGCCACAAAGGAGCAGGAACTTCTTCTGGGTCTTCCACGTGGGTATCAGGGGCCCAAACATTTGGGTCATTTCCTGCTGCTTTTTCCAGGCCATCAGCAGAGAACTGGATCAGAAGTTGAGCAGCCAGGATGTGAACCAGTACCCATATGGGATGCCAACATCGCAGGCAGCAGCTTTACCTCCTTTGCCACAATGCTGGCCCCATGCCAGGCTGATTTCTAACATGGTTTTTGTCATTTTAGGACCCAAGTTGAACACTTGGTCCTTGGAAGCATATAAGACCATGGCTGCCTTATTTTTAATGCTTTCCATTACATGACTGTTATAATTAAATGGTCTCAATAAACATTTAGATTGGCTTGAATCTTCTGAATTTGTATAAATGCATAAAACAAATGTATTTGCTTAGTAGAGTTGCAAAGCCCATATAAGGACCTTACAGACCAAGAAATAGCACTTGTACCTGAGAAAGTCTCCTGGAGCCAGTGTTGTGGTGCAATATGTTAAGCTTCTGCTTGCGATGCCAGCATCCTATATGGGCTCTGGTTCCTGTCCTAGCTGCCCCACTCCTGATCCAGCTCCCTGCTAAAGGCCTTGGAAGGCAATAGAAAATACCCAAGTGCTTAGGCCCCTGCCACCCACGTGAGAGACCTGGATGAATCTCCTGACTTTGGCCTGGCCCAGCACTGGCTGTTGCAGCCATTTGGGGAATGAACCAACGGATGGAAGATCTATCTTTCTAACTTTGCCTTTTAAATAAAATAAATAGATCTTTTAAAAAAGAGCAAAGAAAGTCTTTTTACTGTCCTCAGTCTCATCTACTCCTCCTCACCAGCCTCTTCCTCCACTCAAGGGTGATCACTAGTCTGGTTCTTTGTATTTTTGCTACCTCTGTAGCGTACTTTGAGGCGTGATTCACATGGGCCTATGGGGGCAGGAGGAGCTGCCTTCCTAGGCCCCTGCAAGGCTTCTGCAGCTCTGAGGGACCGGGAGTTGGTAGCAGTGCTGTGCCCTCCTCACTTCCACCTTGCAGCACCTCAGGAGCAAATGTGATAACCGCACAGTGTATTGTGCAAGTACCATGAGCTGGGGATGGCTCCAAGGCCTTGTGTGCATATTATGCTTTGAGTTCTCTAGAAGCATTTGAGTGAAGTGCTTCTTACAGATGAGGCAAACAAGGAAAAGGGGGTCACTTGTCCAAGTCGGTAAAGGGTGAGGCCAGGATCAGACCCCAGGCCCTCTGACTGCAGAGAAATGTTCCGAATCCATTGTCTGGCTCTGCCTGTTACAGCAGTACAAGAGGGAGGTCACGGATGGTTCATCCACTCAGGCTTGGAGACATCAGACATCCCATCATCATTTTCTTTCTTCCAGAATAAGGGTCTACTGCCATCCTGGAGCTGGGAACTACATCTAAGTCTCCCATGTGGGTGACAGGAACCCAATTACTTGAACAAACACCACTTCCTCCCAGGGCCTGCCTTAGCAGGAAGCTGGGATCAGGAGCTAGAACCCAGTACTGAAGTAAAGCATTACAACCAGTAGGCTAAACATGTGCCCTGTCACACATTTTTAATAGCCTTTCTTGGTTACGGCCGGCGCCATGGCTCAACAGGCTAATCCTCCACCTAGCGGCGCTGGCACACCGGGTTCTAGTCCCTGTCAGGGTGCCGGATTCTTTCCCGGTTGTCCCTCTTCCAGGCCAGCTCTTTGCTGTGGCCAGGGAGTGCAGTGGAGGATGGCCCAAGTGCTTGGGCCCTGCACCCCATGGGAGACCAGGAGAAACACCTGGCTCCTGCCTTCGGATCAGCGCGGTACGCCGGCCGCGGCAGCCATTGGAGGGTGAACCAACGGCAAAGGAAGACCTTTCTCTCTGTCTCTCTCTCTCACTGTCCACTCTGCCTGTCAAAAAAAAAAAAATAGCCTTTCTTGGTTACATATGATATGTAACACTTGCATTGATTATGTAACCACTGTGCTTCTAGCCTGTATTTTTCTACCACTGATGTGGCTGAGTTTCAAGTGTGCTGATTAGGCCCTCCATTTACTGGGAGTGTTTTCCTGTCCATGCAGGGTAAGATTTAATCAAGAAATGGGTAAATGGAGACAACTGAACTCAGAAAGCAAATAAGGCCATACCTAAGGTTTGATCAATAGAGCTGGATGGAGAGTGGGAGCTGTTGGTAAAGGTGTGAACAACTTTGACCCCAGACTACACCTTCCCAGCCACCACTTGCTTTGGTCAACCAGACCCTGTCAGAGAGTTTACCAGGAAGGGTCAAAGCCAAAGTGGACATGGACATGGGGCATGGTTGGAAGGTGAAGATTCTGTCTTGGTGACTATCTGGGTCCTTCCAAGCTCACAGCACAGGTGAGAGAGACTGCAAAAGTGGGATAAGGGGAGGTCTGGGAGAGATGGAGTGGAGAATAAAAAAACAGCTGGTGTAACTGATGGAAGGAAAGATGGGATGTGGGTGGACATTTGGCTTAGAAGGTAAGATGCCACCTGGAATGCCTACATCCCACATTAGAGTGCCTGGATTTGGGTCCTGGATGCACTCCTGATTCCAGTTTCCTGCTAATTCACTCCTTGGAAGACAGCAGATGATAGTTCAAATACCTAGATTGAGTTCCTGGCCTGGGGCTTCAGCCTGACCCATCCCTGGACATTGTGGGCATTTATGGGCGGGGGGTAAGCCAGCTGATGGGAGCTCCTGTCTGTCTTTCAAATAAATAAATAAATGAACGAGAACAATGGCTTGTTAAAATGAACTTCAAAAAATGATGGTATGAATTTTAAAACTAGAACTGGCTTCCAAACTTTCATTCCGGTGTTCGAAACAGAAAGAAGAGCCTTTGGCTTCTGCCCAGAATCTCTCCCTGGCGACAACAGCACAGTGAGAAGAGCAGAAGCCCAAGTCCTGGAGTCTTTGAGCAGGTTTGTTGCTCACTCCACAGTTACATGGAGGCCACTCTACAGTTGTTTTGCCTTCCACCAGCAGGGAAGGCACACACCCAGGAAGCTGGTTTCCAAGCTGTCTTTCACCTGCTGAGAAAAAACTATTTTGAAGATCTAAGCATCCCCAGCTATGTCTTGGGGTTTTTTTGATCTGTCATAGAGAAGCTGTGTTGCTTGTGGTGGAAAATACAATAAAGTAATCGGGTGGTGTCCTAGACACACGGAGTTCTTCTGATGCAGAGGCCCAGCGGTCCTTGTTCCTTCACACTCCTTTTGTGCAACTGCACCCCAACAGTTTTCTCCTCCTGAGTACAACAGAACAGAATCAGGTCCTTTCCTCGGAGGAGAGTAAACAGCTCATGTCCAGTGTCCTGGCAGTTGGGGCTGTTCACGTGCCCTTAACAAACCTTCTAAGGACTGTCCTGTCGACCCATTGGCCCTTGCTCTGGCTGTCAGGGTGCCAGAGGAGCTGACATCCACGAGCTGTTGAAACATGTTCTGAGAGGCAGAAGGCTTTCCAGGATGGCTGGGAGA